CAATGTCTGATTATTAACTATTGTTTTATTATTATTTTCAATAAGTTTGAAAACATCCCATATTTATAATTTTATTCATACAAAGCAGTGATATATTTTAGTTTTGCAAAAAATAAAAAAAAAGTAGTATTGGTTTTATAAATCTATCATTAAATCAATTGGTTGTTTCTAAATTCATTAGACTCCCAATAGTATGATCAACTTAATACAGCAATCTCACAAAATAATAATATCAAACATTAGATCTATTCATATTTGAATGAATTTTTTTTAACTCCCACCGTCCAAAATTATGTTTATGAGATATAAAGCATCTTCTAAAATTTCATATTTTTACGATTTTTTTTTGAGACGGTTTATTAATAATTAGGTTTTCCCTTACAAATAACATGTTAACATTGCATATCTTTTATTAAAAAATTGGAACCCGCTCAATTTTTAAGATAGAATATCAAAATTAGAATTGTTTTAAAGTTAAATATTTTTAAGTGTTAAATTAATATTTTAAATATATTTTTAATTTAAGATAATATTAGCCACAAGTGTTTAATTTTTATTATATGAAAAATTTTTCATCACACAATTTATTTCATTGATAAATACAGAAAAAGTGAATATGCGTTAAAAATATTCAAAATAGTGTTATATTTTCCTTAAATGACGACGCCACGCTATCATTTTTCAAAAAAATTAGTTCAAATTAAATTTGTCTGAATTGAGAAAACTCAATTATTAATGAGCGTCTCAAAAAAATTATAGGAAGATAAAATTTCAAAAAATGCATTATTTAACCTCAATACATAATTTTGAGAGGCGGAGGCAAAAAAATATTTTATATTGAATAGATCTAAACAAGATTATAGAGTAAATTGGTGTAAGAGTTCGTTCGGCGGGATAAGATCTTAATATTAAAATAAATTATTTTATTTTATAATTATTAACCAATGAGTAATAATTATCAAATCTTAGATCACACTCTCGTGTTTTTTTAATTATTAAAAAATTATTGAGATAAATTTAATACATTATTTAGATTATAAAACTTTATTATATTTCAATGCTACAATTAACTCTAAGAATAAATTTTTAATTTTTCAAAATAAGTTATTAATAATTTCCTCATATTGACTATAAATAAAATACTCATATTAAATATGTATTAATTCAATAATTGCTTCAAAATATAACTTTCCATCTAAAGGAAGACGGGAGAACGACCTACGCCTAACTATTAACATCTATTGTAAATTTGTTTAACTTGAATATTTTTTTTTTGTTATACCGATCTAATATATAATAGATATTCGAAAATTGTTAATTATTTAATAATTATTGATTAAATTATTAGTCATTCAAAAAAAAAAAAAACAGTCAATTCCACATTGAAAAGAAAGGCACGTCGAGATTTTTCATTAAGAGAACTTCTTGACATTAGGTCAACATTTAAGTTGTTTATTCGAACCTTTTAAAAATGTATGCATTTTAGTAATAGTTTTAATTTATTAAATTTCATATTTGAATAACATCTTTTAAAATAAGTAGTTTCAGGAATTTGGACCCAACTATACATTGGTATTTTTACACTATTTAATATGTAAGGTAAAACTCTGATACATATTCCTAATAAATTTTATTTTTTAGAGCCCTCCTTAAGAAAATCTTGAAAATCCATCACTGACAATATGTGAAAATCTTAATAAACTGAATATGTAATTAAGAAACATACATCGATTTTGCTCTCAAAAAATGATACTATTTACCTATTTAGATAGAAAAAAGAATTGCTTTTGTACCTATTTGATTCCATTTAGTTTTTGAGAAATAATCTTCTTTGTTGAATGAAGATCGAACTAATTTAGTTTCCCTTTCTTTGTATATGTAACATTTTTTTTTATGTATTTTACTCGTTATACTTCACTGTAGAAAATAACGTTTATTTTCACGCTAATTTATATCAACTTACAAAATTATTTTTAAAAAATTGTTTAAATGATATATTACTAAAGAATAAAAGTATCAGAACTCATCCTTAAATTTATTTTATTTACTTATAAGTTGTAAATATTAATACATTTTTTTAAATTTTAAGCTATAATTAAAATATGCTTTTCTCTAAGAATAAAATAACTACATTCATCAACATTTATTAAGAATAATTTTTCTTTTAGATTTTTATTTCGTGGATGAATATAACCATTGCATAAATGATAAAGCAATCTTTGAAGTAAAACGAAGTGAATACTTAAGTAAGTATTCATTAGTATAATAGAAGTAGTAAGATAATTTATAATAGTTATTTAATAAAAATATACAAACAAGTTTTTTCATTTATATGATTTTAAACCATGATTATCGTAAAGGCTGGACTGAATCAATATTTATCTATAATAATGATGTACATGCGTGTGACTAATAAGTGGACATTATAGTGATGCCATTTTATATATGAATATATTTTTATATTTAATTGTGGTATAAGTTGCGAATTTCTTTTACTTATACACTACAATGCATTTTTAACTTTCTTAAATAATGTATTTATCTATGTAATTCTTACATAGATAAATAGTCTTCTATTAAATTATTTAAATTAAAATTTTTTAATGCTAATTGAGTGTATTGGTTATAATTTAAAATGTTTAAATATTATTTCACTAGGAAATTTTTTTGACTATTATAATGGTTAAAAAAATACTAGTAAATTTAAGTATAAAGTATAAAATCCCTGTATCTTTATAAAAAGTGTTTTATGAAATAAACTAATAAAAATCTTACTGAAAGTTATTCTATATTATTATATTAAACTAAATTCATTCATTATAAATTATTTGAAAAACTTAAAGGAAGAAGCTTTTGTAAAAGTTTAATTGATTATGATGGATGAATCATATCGAAATTCTTAACTGAAAATGTTGACTTTAAAATAAATAACAATAGGTTATGAGTATCGACGCTCAAGTCCTTTTCATTTATAATAACCACAATGATTTATCATAAGAATATAAAATGCTCTTTGGTTGTATTGAGGAGTTTATCTAGCAAAACCTTTAATGCCTATAATTTTTATTTATTTACTAAAAATAGTTTGCATTTTTATTGAAAAGCCAATATTTAATTAGATTTACCGACTTATATAAAAAAACGATTAGTTAGTAAATTACACGAATTTTTGTGCAAATTGACGGTCTTTCGTTACTCATTAATATTTTTTTGCATTTAAATTATATTATGGCGAATTTCCAGCAGCTTAAATGTTATGCAAATGCTCAGGAGCATTTCTGATATTTTATTATTAGAATCTAGAAATGTCTATGACGTATGTAATCTTAAAATATGTTTTTATAACAAATAAGACTTATAGCTGTTACATTATCTACAATTTAAATCGTATCATAAATATTGTATATAAATAACTAATTCGCAATTATTCCTAATTTGATAATGCAGATTAATTATTTTTTTCCCAATTATACAAATTATTTATGAAATTGGTAAAAAAAATTATTATAAAATTTCTAGTCTAGAAATAATTTGCACTTTCTTAATTTTCATTATCGTTAATTATAAAAAATACAAAGTATGGTTTAAAAATTTCACTATACTTTTTTAACGTGCTTTAAATTGCAAAGTAATTATTAGGGCACGGAATTATACGTATTTATAAATTTTAATTTCAGACTCTTGTATGGATTTTAGAAGTTTATAAGTACAATGTTTTTATTTCAAAAAACGTATTATTTAAGTGCTTATAAAATAATTTTTTAATCATCTAATAAATATTGTTATTATTAGATGATTAAAGTTATAATGATTAAAAGAATTATCATATTATTTTTCCGTTTTACAATTTTATTAAAAAACGTTTTCTTTTCTCGATATTAAAATAAAGTTATTATAGCTTAACTTTATAAATTTACAATTGGGAAATGTTTTTAAAATAAAAATCTTGTTTATTTTAAAAGTTCAATGGTTGAATGTTATGTGCACATCAATAAAAAACAAAAATCTGAACCGTCTAATATTTTAAGCAACCCATTAATAATTAATAATCAAAAAAACTTATATAAATTAATATACCCAATTACATTTATTTTAAAAAATGTCTATTTCAAAATCATAATTAAAAACAACATAAATACTATATAATTTTATTGACATTAAGTGATATAACTTTGAAAAATTCTGGATACATAAAAAATCATTATAAAAATATACACATTTACAATAATTTTTTTAAAATAAAAAGTGCAAGTCATAAATTAAAAAATGTTCAATGAAAATAACAATTGCTGTATTTAATTCGACTTAAACTCATTATTCCATATGAATACCGTTATTTTTGTACAATTTAACACGTAGATCGCGCAATATGTTTATATTCAACACTACCGATAACTTTTAATTAAATCATAAATTTCTAAATTTAGAAACAATAAAAATAAATTAGTTACTAATTTAAAAATTATAGGTAAAAATATCAATTGGTATATATTATTATTTTAATTATTTATAACTGTAATTATTATGTTAATTATTTATTATAAAAACGATTAGTTATTTTTATAATTTCATTCCCGTATAAAACTATTAAAATTTGGAACTAATAAACAAGAAGTATTATATTATATTTTTCATATTCATGTGATATAGGTATTAATTTTCAAATGAAATTATTTTTCATAAATTGTGATGTTTTTTATCTAAGAAACCATTCTATATTTTTATAGTATATTTACGAATAAAAAAATTGCTACATGATGATCTAATATTGTGTAATTTAATTAAAAATGAGAGTAACAATCATCATCTATTAGTAATAATAATAATAATAACAGCGATAGTAAATAAATTTAAAAAAGAAAAACGTCCCACATAGCACTCGCTTGTATGGAACCCTCTAATTTTACAAAGATCTAAATAAAGCACATTACTCAAACGTCGGTCTCCCACCACGATCGTCACCGTTTTATATCAAGTACCCATACCGCATACTTTAGCTACGATTCAGTTACCACCAATGTGAGTCCAAAGAAGAATATTATTACAAAAATTATGAAACATACTTAAAAGTCATTTCGGATATCGTATTATTAGCTACGGTCAAAAAGTTCAGTACTAGCGTTTTTTACTTTGTTTTGTTTTACACCGATTTTGAAAGTGGTATACGAACGAGATTCGATAAAGTGCGAATTATTCGTTATAAAACCTTCGTTAAGGGTTTCGACCCCTATATTTTCTTTACAAAGAAACTATTTTTGAAAGTACACCATGAATCGACATCAAGAACAAATCACCACCACTTCCGAGCAAAGGAGTATTAGTCGCACTGAACAGCAAATTACTAGACAGATGACACAGACTATGCAAAGACAAGGTACATACTATTTAATTGTGACACATAACATAACCTTATTGTAAAATAAAACATGGAAATGCTGGGAAAATTACTTAAAGATGATAATGAATTAATTAATGTAACGTCCCCATTTCAACATTTGCTTTTAACGAGAAAGCTCGGCAACGTTATTTGGGTAAAATAATTCACAAAAATGAGAAAAATTTTTCTAGCTTTTTGTGATTGTTTGAAAAATTTTATCAAAAACGTTCACTACCGCCATAATTTTTCGATTTAAAACCTGGAAATCATGCTTAGAGACATTCCAAATATATCCTGAGAATTTCGTAGAACTGCGTGTTAAAATTTATTGATCTTTTATAAACTTTTCTCATATTAATAATTAAATATTTAATATATTTTTGTTGGCCCCACCTAGTGAGTAGAAACGTATATTACGGCGTCCCATGTTCCATCCCCAGGTTGCCAACGAGATTTTTCTTGGGTTTTTCTTATTGGTGTTGTCTAGACTTGGGTGCAAGTCGATCATCCTGTCTCGTCCCATCTATACCCATCCCGTCTATCATTAACCTAGCCAAAAAGCATCTTTGACTCGCTAACATATTAAAGAGGGACATCACCCTCTGTAGCATGTTAAATTCGGGAAATAGAAGAATGCACAACTGATCACTACATTTTTATTGTACTGATTTTAATACTACTATGTAAAATATTATTGTGCTCGACGTAGCCGGGCGATCCTTTTAAAATCTGTCATCTACCCGTAAGGACTACCGCACTATGTGAGGTCCACGGGGGCCTAGGTCTTGGTTAGAGACCTATTTAGGCGGAGTTTAGTCTTTTATAAAAATGGAAAAGATATTTATAGAAAAATAATTCATTTTTATATGTCAGAGTTCTAAAAAACCAGAACCGAAAAAATGATGAATATAATTTCATTAATATTTTACAAACGTAATTAGAAAATCATAATGTTTTAGATAGTTACTTTATAAATAACATTGAATCATAAGGGTCTCTTTAGTCTATTGTGAAAAATCTAAATTTTTGGGCAATTTTTCCGATAATACTCATTTTTAATTGATCGAGTTATTAGATTTTGACTTTACAAAGATATTTTATGAACATAAAATATTTGTTAATTTAAATATTAAGTTTCATATAGTCAAAATTTTAACTTAATTAATGTTTTATTGGAATATCAATTATTTCGTTTAACCATTCTTATTCTTAAATCAAAGGTATAAAAAGATAGAAAGGATGTACTAGTAATATTATTATGCTTATAATTCAGAAAAATCATCCATAGATAGATTTTAAAAAAACGGGTTTTCAATTGATGTATAAACACAACTATAATTTGTTCAAAACTGGAAAATATTTGCAGTAGTTAGCCCTGATTAATTATAAATTTTTTTTAATTCAAAATAATTTTTTTTTTTTAGTTAAAATTACGGATGTTATAAATAAATTTTGTATTTCAAAAAAAAGTAGTAACAATTTTTTAATAGCTTATTTTTATAAATAAGTTATATAAGTATGCAGTCAATATTCAAATGATATAAAAATTAAAAAAAACAATTAAATTACTTTTAAAATTATTTTCAAAGTGATAACTCTAAATTTTTTTATTAAGTACTACGCAGCACATAAATACATCTTCAACTATAATGATTCTTTCAAATAATAACCATAGTATAATATCTGACTTGTAACGTGACTGTTTGCATAGAAATGAATTTCATCTGAACTAAAAAGTAGTTGAACTGCCATATATGTTTAATACAAGGCTGTGTGTAAATGGTTGTACTTAAATGCCATAATATAAAATAGTTCGCTATTTTAACCATTTAATGTTACTTCATTGCAGTAAAAAATATGAAAAGTTAGTGGCTAATTTTTAAATTTTTTTTAATAAATATCAAAAATGATTTTAAAATCAACTTGGAAACCAATGAAACCACAAAAGTACTCCTTTTTAAAACACGGTAAGACAATATCATTCTTAAATCATTTTATTTTATCTAAGACTTCAACAAATAAAATGTAGGTATATATATATACTAATAGTACATATATAATCTATATATCTTATAAATCATTATTCTTTAGATATAATATTTACACAATAGATTGCTATATATATTAATATTTTACGTAAAAAATCATACCTCAAATTAACATATTTTTTTTAATTTGAAAAGTTAAATATTTATGATTATTATAATTTTATCTTAAATGTAATATAGTTATATGATTCTAATTATTTGTAAGTGAAAATAAATCAGAGATTTATCATATGTAACTTATTAAGTTAATGGTTTAAAAATTTCATATTTATTGAATTAAATATTTAAATTCGTGATAGTTCTTTTTTACGGGACCTTAATATGTCAAATTTCAAAGAAAGTAATTTTTTTACTAAAAAATATTTTATTTAAAAAAAGGTTTTCTATGTCTGACATTTAAATATAGTGATGAGAATTTTCAAATATTTTAAACTAACTAATAGTATTTGATAGTTTTTTAAAACTATTCGAATTGTTTTTATACAACCGAATAGTTTATTTTTAGCATAAACTATCGAATAGTTTTAAAAATTATTCGAATGGGCTACCCATTGGTTTCAAAAAATATTCGATTAGACTATCGAATATTTTTTAAAACTATTCCAATATATTGTGTAACTATCGAATATGTTTACTATTCTAATAGTTTTTAAATGACTATCAAATAGTTCGATAGTTACTATTCAATATTTCCCATCACTATTTAAAACCTGCTATTTCTACAATTAAAACTAGAATTTGCATTATAATATTTAAATTCAGTTCAATCTTTAGGCGTTTGATTAAGGAGACATAATTTGATTTTTAGATGATATGTTTTTTGTAGAAGGAGATCCTATTTTTTTGTTACACAAACAAAAAATCAGTAATTTATCATTACCCCAAAAAATAAATAAAAAGAGTACTGTTAATTTTTTTGATAAAAAATGACAAAAATTTAAATAAAAAAAAAAAGACTATTGAGGTTGGGTTGAGGATAATAAATTTGTATTTAGAATAAAAATAATTTAGTGTTCTAGCATAGACGAAATTTAGGTCTGCCTTGAATGAGTTTATCAATTCTAGTTTTTGAATTTGTACTTCCAAAATGTCAGAAAAACTATAATATTTTAATAAAAAAATGTAGGAAGTGATAAATTCTAATTAATTTTTACTAAATTTTTCAGTATATATAAATTATTTTAGATATAATAGTCCCTCTAAAAATTTTGTTCAAATTGTGCCTATGTGCAGACACCCACGCCGACACGACGGTTTTCTTTGGGGGATAAACATAAAAAAAATTTTTATTACTACTTCTAAACGAAAAATTTATATCTGCACCATGTAAATGTTTTTATTCTGGGGAAGACCTATCTCCATCATCCCCTCCATAGTTGCATTACTCCACCTTTATAAAAATAGTGAAAAATAATAATTTACCACTTCTGAAATCAACCGATGTCAACACGGAAAAAAATAAAGTTAGAATAATCATATAAACTGTTAATATAGTGACAACTGAAATGAAGGCAGTTAAAATAACTGAATATTCGGTTACGTCGACAATTTATTTAGCTATTCCAACTGTTTCTATTAAATTTGTCATTATATTAACTGTTCATATTTTCTTAGAGTTTAGTTAAGAACTATTTTTTTATGCTCCTCACAATAATGAAAATGAGTCATTTTTATTATGGCCATTATGGCCATTATGGCCATTCTTGGTCTTTAAACACAAAAACAATAAACATAAATGAAATTTCTTTAAGACACTAAAGTGAGTAGTAGGATAATACCACAGAAGAAATAAGTTATAATTATTATATTAAGAGTCTATTATGGTTTTTATAATTTTGTCAGCCAAATACTTAATTATTTTAATAACCAATTAATATATATATATATATATAACTATGTATAATACTATTACAACTAACATACAGGAAATACTACTTAAATAATATACTAAACTTAATAATATTGAGATTTTTAATAATATCCAATTAAAACAAAATAAAATAAATCATTCATAAGTTTTGACTTCGAGAGTTACAGATTATTTAGGCCTTGGCTCGAACAATATCTCTTACTAGTAATTAAAATCTCCATTTTAGTTAAGATATTGTTCACTAAAAAGTAGTTAACATTGATGATTTGTCTAAAACTGAGTTCACGGAATTTTTTTAAATGGTTATGTATAAGTTGATTGATTGCTTTACTTTTCGTTTATCAGCAATATCATTAAATTAAAAAAAATAGGTTATTATAAAAATATTTATACATATTTTCTTAAAAAAATAATAAGCTTTGACTTTTGATAAATAGTGAAAACTTCTATAATACACGTTGTAAGTTATGATGCGTATAATAATATAATAATCAGTTAAGTAAGATTAACATTTTAGAAATTATTAAAATGCAATTCAAATATTTTATAATCTAATTGAATCTTAATCAATTTATAAAAAATCAGTACTGCTATAATATAAGTTATTATAATACCTTATAACGAAACGTATATTACAATAAAATGGTTATGACGTCTGCTATATAACAGAGTTTTAAACTAACAGCTGTTATCGCCTACTGAGCGTATGGTACCAACATGACCTGTTCCAAAAATGAATCCGAGTAATTTGATCTTGTATTTTATGTAGCTTTGCCAAGAAACTATATTACAATTAATGGTTTGAATCATAAAAACACCATAATTAATTGTATACTCAACTCTTGATTTTGTTGATTAATTTTTTTAACATTAGAGTCATAAGATGGGGCTAATGGTGTAATCGCTTTAAATAGTGCTTTTTTAGAGATGACATTTTACAAGATTAATTTTCAGGTAATTGTCTACTTTATAATTTTCTTATCAGTTAAAATAATGAAAAGTTAACTAATTATTTGATACAAATAGATATTATGGTGTAACATTTTGTTTATCATAAATTTAAAAAAAGTTTAAATTTA